GCCCCACAAAGTGGTCACAGAGGGCACATAGAATCAGAGGGAGCACAGCGCAAAAAATCTGGGGATAAGGGAATTTTGCTTTCAGATTCCAGCTCCACCTACCAGCTCTTGGTTGAGAAAGTTAAGTTCATCTAGCTGAACCTCAATTTTCTCACCTAGAAAATGAGGCTGGTAAAAACCCACCTCGTGGGCCATTGTGAGGATTGAATGGACTATGTGCTACTAACTGGTAGCACAGCTTCGGACACTCAGTAACTTTGGCTGCTCTGATGTGTCGTCACTCTTGTCACATGCCCTTGTTCTGTGAAGGAAGGGAAGGCAGCAGCCTCCTGAGCTCCTATTGGATTCACTCTTCAATGAATGCTAGTTGAGTACTCACTGTGTGTAGGTGTGGTGCCAGGTGCCAGAATATGGTGGTCGTGACCTCACTGAGTTCATTGCCAGCTTTAGCAGGGGCAACCACTACAGACTGCTGTCAGGAAGAGGAGGGGGAAAAAGGGGTCCCAGCAAAATCTGAACCTGGGTGATCCAAGAGGCTCACCCATGTTCCTGTTTTTAGACAGAACGATTCACCAAAGAGGCTTTGGATTTGGCAGAGTTCTCCATGATATGCCCCCCACCAGGCAACTGAAATCACAGTTCAGGAGGTGCCATCTGAATCCCAGGGACTCCCTGAAAGGCCTTCTTGGGTCGAGCTCCTGTACCCCGGGCCATCTAGCCTTCCCCTGGCCGATGGCACTACCTCAAGGACATAGGACAGCATGCAAACCAACCTCAGGACAAGAGGCCCAAGTCCTGTGGGCTTCACATCTAAGTCATCAGAACATCAGGTCCCAGAAGCAGCCCAGTCAGACACTTCAAGCCTGTCAGACACCACGTATGACTTTGCTCTGGGGACTTTGTATACTGGATCCTCCAAACTGCCTAAAATCAAGCAGAGCCCTGCTACAAGAGGACCTAAGTCATCAGTCATCTCCATCAAAAAGCAGCCCCAGGAATGTTGGATGGAGAGGCTGGTAAGAGTGCGGAAGAGAAAGGTGGGGATTAGGGAGAAGGCTGGGTGGAAGCAGGAGACGAAGATGCCTTAGTGCTTACTGCACTTCTAGCAAGATCAACAATGGCTGCCTTTTGAGGAAGGAAAATGTGCTAGCTGTTTGCCACTTCAGGAAGGGGAGCCCCCGCTTTGCGATTGGAGGATGTGTGACTATGGTGGCCAGGCTACCTTTTGGCTGTGGAGACTGTTGTTTCTTGGGAATTTAATTGTGTCACTCATCATGGCAGCAGTACCAGAGCAACACCCCGAAAGAAGCAGGGGCAGCATGAGTCTCCAGGACCAAGAACCCCTGAATGCAGATGACTATCACCTGGGCAATGCTGGATACTGAAGAAGCTGCTGCCTCCACCCCACCTCTGTACTATGAGCATGTGAGTGACTTGTGTGGCTATCACTCAGCCTGACTTCTTTGTTCTCTGCATATTCTTGCAATACACTGGAGATCAGTGGGGTTGGGTTGGCTCTGCCACTAGAGTAAGTTTGGTCCCAGGAAAAGGCTGTTTCTACCACTGCCTCCTCTGCAGGTCTTGATTTATGTAAACACTACATAGGTGAGGAATTAGAAGAAGCTGCTCACTCATGTACCCCTCCCTGGTGGCAAGATTTCCTGCACTGCCCTGCCTCAACAGCTCCACCAGTTGGAGGCTGAGAGGACAGCATGTGCCAAAGCCCTATGGCAGTAGGCAGCGTGGCTTGTGTGGCCAGAATTTAGAGGGCAAGTGGGTTTGCATTATTTGCTGAGACTGGAGAGGCTGGCGGGAGCAGACTCCCCAGGACTTGAAAGGCCAATAAAGGAATTCAGGTATATCCTAAGAGCAATGGGAAGCTACAGAAGAACTTTATTTATTTATTTTTGTGTGTGTGAGGAAGATCAGCCTTTAGCTAACATCTATTGCCAATCCTCCTCCTTTTTTTCCCTTTTTCTCCCCAAAGCCCCAGTGGATAGCTGTATGTCATAGTTGCACATCCTGCTAGTTGCTGTATGTGGGACGTGGCCTCAGCATGGCTGGAGAAGTGGTGCGTTGGTGTATGCCCGGGATCTGAACCCATGCCGCCAATAGCGGAGCGCGCGCACTTAACTGCTAAGCCACGGGGCCGGCCCCCACAGTAGAACTTTAAGCAAGAGGATGACATCAGAGTTTTTCAAAGAGGGATAGGTATGGCTATTCTGTGGGGAATGGACTGGAGGTGGGAAGACTAGGAGGAGGTAAGAGATGAAGGTGGCCTGTTCTGGGGAAAAGGCAGTGGGAATGGAGAGGAGACTTGCCTGGGAGATGTTTGGAGGTTAAACCAGCAGGATTTGGAGATGCCCTGAAAGGGGATGGGTGGGCAGAGGGTAGGAGGCATCACAGATGACATTCAGGTCAGCTCTGGGGCCAGGCCCTGAGCTTCCCTGGCTTCACCCTATTTCCACTTCTGCCCACTGCCAACAGCATCTGGATAAATTTTGTCATAGTCTCTACCCCTAAATTGTCCCTATGTCCAGGTCTGTCTGATACTAGGGGCTCCTAGAGGACAGGACTTCACTAGTGTGTGCTTATTTCCCCTGCACAGAGCAGGGCACAGAGATGGCCTCGGGTGAGGTTAAGGGCAGGACAGCCCACTCTGTTAGCTAAAATCTGCTTGCTACTTGGGTGTGAGTGCTCACATGTCCCTGAGTGAATAAGGGTCTGGGTGTCTGTGTTTCTGTGATTGGCTTTGTATGGTCACCTCAAGGCCATGGCTAGCAGTGCTGGCCTATTTAAGGACTGAAGCTGAATGTTATAGAAAATTTGTTGCCTAACCAGTCTTCTACAGAGATGGTGCCCACCTTCTCTGGTTCAACACAGCCTGGCTCTGCTGGGGTAGAGTTTTGCCCTGGGGTGTTAGACATCCAGCCCCCGGAGAAAAGCTAAAAAACCTCAAAATGCTAAATTCTCCCTTCTCATTCCTCTGTCAGCAGCTGCTATTTATTTGTCTGGACTTCCTGCTCACCTCTTCCCCATTCTTTATACCCCCCACTTCCTGGGGGGCTGTCAAGAGTGGAACAGATAAGCTTTTTATCTCGCAAACCCACATTTTTTGCACGGAAACCGGCATATCCAAGAGTTTCTCTTCCTTCTCCTTACTCAGCCAGCAGCAAAAGTGTGTGCGGGGGCTGCTGACCAGCAGTAGGGGGAGGCGGGCAGGGGAGGGAAGGGAGCCAGGTCCGAGTTTGGGCACCCAAACCATCCAGGGCAGGGACACATCCCACTGTTCTCTGAAGCAGAGCCCTAGGGGACTCACGCTCTGCAGTGGGGCTGCCTAGAGAACCCTGCCGCTGTAGCAGGAAGGGAGCAGACCCACCTCCAGCGCAGCCCCATTGGTTTGTCCTTCTTCCTGGCCTGCAGGCATGGGGCAACATCAAGTGCACAGTCCCTCAAATATACACAAGCTGAGACCCTTCCCCTCCTGGGTAGCCCAGGACCTCTAGTCCCTCTGGAAGAGGTTTACTCATTTTCTTTTTAGGGAGACGTCTAAGGTCTCCAGTCCTCAGACTTAGGTCACTACCCTGTGCCAGTCACTCCTGCCACCTGGGAAAGGTTCCAAAGGTGGAGCAGCTCCAGGGGGTGCAGAGGTTTAGTGTAGAAACTTGAGAAGGTGGGGATGAAGGAGTTTAGGCACAGATCCTGAAGCCTCTCAGTGGTGGAGCTTCTATGAGAAGGCACATCGGGTGCTCGCGCGCACGCGTGCGTGCATGCGTGCGTGCGTGTGTGTGGTTGGGGGTGTTCCTGGAGGAGGCCGCTAGGGTGAGGGCCTGAGGCCAGGAATGGGGTGGGGCCTGCGGAGCGAGGAGAGGAACTCAGTCCTCAAGTTTCCTGGGAGAGCTAGAGCCCCAGGAGCCACAAGATAAGGCGGGTTTGGCCGCAGAACCCAGGTGCCAGGCCTTACCTTAGGACCCATAGTTCTGACCTCAGCGAGCCGGGGCTTCTGCACTGAGGTAGGAGGGATGCTGGCCAGCAGGTCAGCCAGTAGCTCTGGGAGAAAGGTTGCTGGGATGGGGGGCTCTGATGCCCTGGAAATTACTTCATTTCCTTCTACTCATATAGCCTACTGTCTGGGTTCCTGCTCTGTTGAGTAAATGTTTCCTGACCCTCCCCAGGTGGTTGCTCAGTTTACATCCCCCAAAGTTCCTCCATTCAGGCCCTGGGGAGGTGTAGCATCTCCTGAGGAGGGAGCATTTTCCGAGGCTAACTGGGGAAGATGGGAGAGGTGGGATCCTGATAGTTCCCAGTTCCTGGCTGGAGTCCCCAGACGATGGACAAGCAGGCAGAAAAGTAAGGTAGGGGAGAGAGAAGATCAGGGACAGAGGGCCCCTTCCTGAATCCAGAGTCCACAAGGTTAACCCCTCAATTCAGGGATTATCTCCTCCCCTAGGCTTACCCCAAGTGGCCCAGCACTGGAAAACCAGGAGCTCAGAGCACTGTGACCACAGAGACATCTGCATCTGCTCTAGGGGTGGCGAAGGCAGACTGCAGGCAGATGGGGACATGACGTGCTTGGGAGAGGCCACAGGGCAGAGGGCCACCCTTTGGGAGAACCACCCCGGGGCCCTCTCTCTTGGAGAGCAAAGCTAGGGGCAGGGGCGGAGCAACCCGGGTCCGCACCCTGGGAGCAGTGGGGGTAGAGAGAGGGGCAGGGGCAGAGGGACCCTGCAGTGGGAGGCAAGTGGGCACACACGACAGAGGGCCGGCTCAGCCCGCCGGGTTGCCCTCGGGGCTGGGGGCCGGAGGGCCTTGCTGCCCCCTGCCGGTCGCGCTGCGTCGCGGCTCTCCCCGCACGAGTCGTAAGGTCCTGTGACTCTCCATCACCCACTCGCGAGACCACGCCGCCAGGTGGCCTAAGTCGACTGTCCGGACCCCATCGTCGCCCTCGGCCCATTGCCCGCCCCTCTCAGGCTCTCGAGACCGGCCCCTGCCTGCGCAGCATGCGGCCCGCGGACCTCGAGGGTCCCCGTGCGCTCGGCGGGCGCCCTCTGCTGCGTCTGCTGCTCCTGCTGTCTCTGCTGCCAAGGCCAGTAACCCGCGCTCAGACCACTCCGGGCACCCCCAGCACCCCAACCACGCCGGGCACCCCCAGGGCCTCGACAGCGCCAGGCACCCCCAGCACTCCAAGTCTGCGGGAGCGCGCGCGGGCCCTGATGCGGGACTTCCCACTCGTGGACGGGTGCGTAGGTGGAGGGGTGGGGGGTGCTGAGTTCACCCCTGGGCAGAGGAGGAGGTCCTGAGCATGGAGGGTTAGGGAGGAGGCTCCCTCACACCACCCCTGGATGGCTTCTCTCATCATTCATGGGTGCCCTTTCCCCTCTTCTGTCACCCTCTCCCTGGTGGGAACCCCCTAGCTCAGGCCTCAGGGGATCCTGGTATAGTCTGTGTGACAGTGTGGAGTGGGGCACCCCTGTCCCCCACCCAGGCCAGGCCACATGTCCTACCTGATCCCAAGGCCTAAGGAGCCCCCCCACTTGCTCCTGATGTGAGCCTGCCTTGATCTCCCTCCAGCCACAATGATATGCCCCTGGTCCTGAGGCAGTTTTACCACAACAGGCTACAGGATGTTAATCTGCACAATTTCAGCCATGGCCAGACCAGCCTGGACAGGCTTAGAGATGGTCTCGTGGGTGCCCAGGTACCACAGGGACACACGGGGTGCCACAGCATGGCTGCTGGGGAATGTGGGGGAATATGGGGGTTCTAGAGACCTCAACAAGTTAGTAACATGGGAACTCAGTTACCATAGTGACCCAAAAAGTGCCATGACATGGATGCTGGGGGCTGCAGGAGCCACAATGAGCCAGCTTGGTGGACATCCAGGTACCATGGAACAAGCTGAGCATTACATGTGACTTCTGGGCCACTGGGCGCTGTGCTGGCTGTGGAGACTATGAAAGGAGGGACTCCAAAGCAGCCCCTGCCCAAGCCAACCCCTGTCCTTCTCCTAGTTCTGGTCAGCCTACGTCCCATGCCAGACCCAGGAACGAGATGCAGTGCGCCTCACACTGGAGCAAATTGACCTCATCCACCGTATGTGTGCCTCCTATTCTGAGCTGGAGCTTGTGACCTCGGTTAAAGGTAGGCGGGCTGGTAGGAGGTGTTAGGAACTTGACTGAGCTACCCTAGCCCCTGAAACTGATCACCTGACCTACCTGCCCCCAGCTCTGAACAGTACCCGAAAGTTGGCTTGCCTCATTGGTGTGGAGGGTGGCCACTCGCTGGACAGTAGCCTCTCCATCTTGCGTACCTTCTATGTGCTGGGTGTGCGCTACCTGACACTCACCCACACCTGCAACACGCCCTGGTGAGCACAGTGCAGATGGTATGGGCCCACTGAGGCAGAGATTTGCCCAAGATCATACTGGGGCTCAGACCAAGCTTTACCCCTGGGATCTGGCACTGACCCTGGAGTGGGGAGGGGAGCTGGGTTCGCAAAGCAAGACTGGATCCCCAGCAGGGCCCTTCTCCTGCCAGACACAGCTCAGCTTGGGTCCCTGCTCTTGCTCCAGGGGGTTGTAGGGATAGAGGGTTCGGTAGAGCCTCTAGGCTCTTGTGGCCAAATCGTGGCTACCAGTCAGACTGCCTCCTGGCCACCCTGCAGGGCAGAGAGCTCAGCTAAGGGCATCCACTCCTTCTACAACAATGTCAGCGGGCTGACCAGCTTTGGTGAGGTGAGGACCCTGGTTCCATACCCTGCCCACATGCATATACGTGCCCCACCTCTTCCCTACAGATAAATACCTATACATGTGCACTCCTGATGCCCTCTCCCCAACCTGTCCCTGCAGAAGGTGGTGGTGGAAATGAACCGCCTGGGCATGATGGTAGACTTGTCCCATGTCTCAGATGCCGTGGCACGGCGGGCCCTGGAAGTGTCACGGGCACCTGTGATCTTCTCTCACTCAGCTGCCCGGGGTGTATGCAAGAACGCTCGGAATGTTCCTGATGATATTCTGCAGCTTCTGGTGAGACACTGCCCTGGCCCTCAAACCTAAAGCAAGAGGTTCAAACCAGGAGCCCTTGAACTTGAGCCCCCAGTCCCTCAACTTTCTCAAACCCTGTCTGAACATCTTTTGCCCCACAAACCCACAGTCTACAGCCCCTGAACTCTTGAACCCTAGGTAGGGTTCTAGGTGGTAAATACACCTCTAAACCCTCAAGCCTAGGGCTAAGACACCACCCAAACCAGGGCTGAGAAGCCTCCATTCCCACAAACCCAGAGAGGTGAAGTCTCCTCTGACCTCAAAGCCAGGGCTGAACACCTTCCCCACAGGGGCCCAGAGGGTGAACAGGCAGGTAGTTGTGCTGGGGGGCCAAGCTGAGTGTCCATTTGTTCACTCCTGCAGAAGAAGAATGGTGGCATCGTGATGGTGTCATTGTCTGTGGGGGTGCTGCAGTGCAACCTGCAAGCCAACGTGTCCACTGTGGCAGGTAAGCCCCACCCTGGGCTCTGTGAACAGCTCTCATTTGGACCTGAAGCTTTGGAGGGGACCTCAGAACAGCTCCAGTGGTTTGACCCATCCATTGGCAGTAGGCACAGCTCCCCAAAACCCAATAATGGACAGTACACAGCACCTTGGTGCCACATGGAACTGGAGCCACAGAGTCAATACTGTGATATTGATGGGTATAGGGAGGCAGTCAGACACAGAGCCTGGGTGCCAACCATCTGTGCGTCTGCCGAGGCTCCCAAAGCACCCTGCCCCTGCCTGTGGCCAAGGGACTGGGCAGCCCCATAGGTCTCTAGGGTCTTTGTCAGTTGTACTCTTTGTCCCTCTCTCATCCTCCACCCCCATGGAAAGGAGCCCCCACGGGTTTTCAAGGATACTGGAGGCACGGTGAATCCTGGATGGGAAATGGCCCAAATGGGTGGCTCTGGAGTCCACTGCAAATCTGAAGTCCAGTCTGGAACCAGTTGGGATCAGTTGAAGTCAAACCTCAGGGCCCTCAAGTTGGCATACTGGGTGCCAGGCCATGAAGGAATTGGCCTGCCTGGCCTACGGGCTGCAAGAAAGGGAATCAGCAGAGTCCAGTCCCCACCCCAACCCCTGCCCTGGAAGCCCCACGCTGCTAACTCTCCATCCCCCAGATCACTTCGACCACATCAGGAAAGTCATTGGATCCAAGTTCATTGGGATTGGCGGAGATTATGATGGGGCCGGCCGGTAAGTGCTTCTCCCCGTCGCTTGTCTGGAGCTGGCCATGCAGCAGTGGGACCTTCACAGTCACTGTGCCCACCACATTGTGATCCTCATGGCCTTTAGATCTTGACCACAGCCTCAGGTCTATTGGCCCACCTGGCATCTCCCCACTCCCAGGGTCTGTTTCCTGGGCTCTCCCATCTGTCTGTGGCCCATTGGCCCCACTCTAAGTCATCATATTTGGCTAAGCCAGCAGACAGAGCTCCTCTGCTCAGCGCGTGTACCCACCCCCAGTGTCAGCAGATCCACTGCCTCTGAGCAGACTCTTTGCAAGGTCTGACCATCTTCTCCGCCTGCAACTGGGTCTGTGCATGCAGGGGGTCAACACAGTTCTTAAAAAGCTTTTCTTCTTTTTATAAATGGAGGGAAATTCTGCATTCTGTGAAAGGCATAGATATTAAGGTATAATTCAGTGAGTTTTGATGAATATTCAAGGTCATCTCGGGGCCTCCTTCTGAAGGATGAAGAGCAGTGGTGAATCATATATTTTCTCCAAGTCTCCATTTCCCATATCTGACCAGGGCTGGGGTTCAGTGGACCCTGGACACATAGGGCTGTGGTTCTGAGTCAGGACCAAGGAACAGGTCTGGGGCCCAACAGCTGGCTGGCTGGTGGCCACACAGGTTTCCTCAGGGACTGGAGGACGTGTCCACATACCCGGTACTGATAGAAGAGTTGCTTAGTCGTGGCTGGACTGAGGAAGAGCTTCAGGGTGTCCTTCGTGGAAATCTGCTGCGGGTCTTCGAAGAGGTAGAACAGGTATGCTGGGCTGGGCAAAAGAGTAGCTCAGGGGGCTGAGCAGGTGTGTTGGGGGGAGCTGTGGGAGCTGCTGACCACCGACTGCCACCTCAAGGTACGGGAGGAAAACAAGAGGCAAAGGCCCTTGGAGGACGAGTTCCCGGATGAGCAGCTGGGCAGCTCTTGCCGCTCTGTCCTCCCGCATCTGCATCAGAGACAGTATCTGACTCTGGACCAGAAATTAACCGAGACTCCGACGCATTGGACACCCAAGTTATTACCTAAGAAGTCATTCTCAAAATCCTCCCCCGACATGGCCCCAGGCCTGACTGTTATTGCTGCCTTCCCAGTCCTTATTCTGTGGCTCTGGTGACTCACTTAATCCTGCCAGATGTCACTTTGGCAGCCATGGACACCCCACAAAGTTCCCCTGTTGTGCAGGCTCAAACATTTCCCGAAAATAAATGTTTTAGACATGGAACCAGGCATGCGGGTCCTTCTCTGTGGTGGGGTCTGGTGGTGCAGGCTCACAATGTTGGGGTTGGTGGGGGACCCTGCAGTTCAGCCATGAGTTACTCAAGGAAGATCTGCTGGCAGTGGCCTGGGGAAACCCAGATGGTTGGGCCCAGCACTAGAAGAAGACAGTGGGTAGCTCTGGCTGCGGGAGGGTGGATGCTACTCTGGGTTCCTCTGAGTAGCTTACCTCAATCCACATCCTGACCCACTGACTACCACCTGGGGATCTTTCAGGGACGTCTGGTTCAAATTCCCAAGAAGGAACATGCCTGGATCAAAAATGATCTTTGTTCCTATTTGGACAGAGCCCAGAATGTCAGGCCACATAATGGACCGTGGGCCTCCAATGGCTGCACTGCCCTGGATGTGGGCCCAATCCCTCTGTGAGACTTCCTCTCTGAGAGGCACAGGCTACTTAGACAACCACTCCTTCTTACCCCAGGACATTAATGGTAATAACAACTGCACTAATAATAGCCAAAATTAAGAGTTAATACATTAAGAGTTAATAATGACAGCTAATAATAATAAATAACATGATAATAATAGATAATAGCTAATAAAAATAATAGTTAATACTAATAGTCTATGCATATCCCATGACTGAGCAATTTCACCCCAGGTATACATCCAAGAAGAATGTATACATATATTCCCTAAAAGGCATACAAAATAATACTTATAGCAGTACTATTCATAATAACTCCAAACTGTGCATTTCAAAGTCAAATTTCAAGGAGTCAAAGACAAAAGATTTTCTTTTTTTTTTTTAAAGATTTTATTTATTTTTCCCCCAAAGTCCCAGTAGATAGTTGTCTGTCACAGCTGCACATCCTTCTAGCTGCTGCATGTGGGACACGGCCTCAGCATGGCCGGAGGAGCGGTGTGCCGGCGCGCACCCAGGATCCGAACCTGGGCCGCCAGCAGCGGAGCGCACGCACCCAACCGCTAAGCCACGGGGCCGGCCCAAAAGATTTTCTTAAAAGCAGTCATATTTTGGGGCCGGCCCCGTGGTTTAGCGGTTAAGTGCGTGCGCTCCGCTGCTGGCGGCCCGGCTTCGGGTGTCCCACATACAGCAAGTAGAAGGATGTGCAACTATGACATACAACTAGCTACTGGGGCTTTGGGGGGGGGGAAGCAGTCATGTTTTTAAAAATCACATTAACTTAGAAACAACAATGAAACTGACAACTGAATTTTCAACAGAAATAATGGAAATCTGCTGCAGTGGAATATCTTTAACCTGATGAAGGAAAGTAACTACCAATGGTAACTTCTGTGCACAGTGAAAACATTCTTCAAAAATGAAGGAGAATAGGGCCAGCCCCGTGGCTTGGCGGTTAAGTGCGCGTGCTCCACTGCTGGTGGCCTGGGTTCGGATCCCGGGCACGCCCTGAGGCACTGCTTCTCCAGCCATGCTGAGGCGGAGTCCCACATACAGCAACTAGAAGGATGTGCAGCTATGACATACAACTATCTACTGGGGCTTTGAGGGGAAAAAATAAACAAATAAAATCTTTAAAAAAAAAATGAAGGAAAATAAATCATTTTCAGACCAACAAAAGCAGAGAGAGAAATTGGAAATATACAAATCACCTAATGAGAATATAAATTATTATATGATAAAGTACATATCAAATTAAGGAAATTAAGGAGATTATAGACCCCCTAATTTCACATTTGAAATGGAGGTACGAAAATTTAAACAAAGAGTCCAGATGTTGAATTTTTTTTTTTTTTTTTGGTGAGGAAGCTTGGCCCTGAGCTAACATCTGTGCCAATCTTCCTCTGTTTTGTATGTGGGACACTGCCACCACATGGCTTGATGAGCAATGTGTAGGTCTGCGCCTGGGATCCAAACCTGCAAACTCCAGGCTGCCAAAGTGGAACATGCAAACTTAACCACTACACCATTGGGCCAGCCCCAGATGTTGAATTTTTAACTGGAGAAAAGTTATGTTCTATGAATACATCTGATTTGTCAAAAGCTGCCACTGACTTGGCTCTTTACATATTCTGAAATTTTAAGTTCTGTAGAAATTCCATCTGAAATAGTTTTAAGAAACACGCAATACTGATGCTTTTTAATATAAAATCAGCATTGTGTTTGGATATTCTAAAATTGGTTCACGAATTTTGCTTAGTGGAATCTTACCCAAATTTGGAAATAGCCTTGAAAAAAATTTAACTATGCCACTCACAGTGGCATGCTGTAAAAGAAGTTTCAGCAAGCTGCAGTTATTTAAAAATTAAGATCATCACTTGCTCAAGAGAAATTGTCAAACATGCAATCTCTCAATAGAAAATGAGCTAAGCAAAGAAGTAGGTTTTGAAAATATTATTCATGAGTTTTCTTCATTAAAGCCAGGAAAGTAAAATTATAATTCTGGTTTGGGTATAAATAAAATATGGAGGGGCCGGCCCCGTGGCTTAGCGGTTAAGTGCGCGTGCTCCGCTACTTGCAGCCCGGGTTCGGATCCCGGGTGCGTACCGATGCGCCGCTTGTCCCGCCATGCTGAGGCCGCGTCCCACATACAGCAACTAGAAGGATGTGCAGCTATGACATACAACTATCTACTGGGGCTTTGGGGAGAAAGGGGAAAAAAAGGAGGAGGATTGGCAATAGATTTAGCTCAGGGCTGGTCTTCCTCAGCAAAAAAAGAGGAAGATTGGCGTGGATGTTAGCTCAGGACTGATCTTCCTCACAAAAATAAAATAAAATAAGGAAACATAATGTTGTGAGTTTTAATACACCTACTTTTCAGTTCTTTAATATTTTTCAACTATGTTAATGTTCTGGAAAAGTTAACCATTAAAAAATACATTAAAAATGTATTTAGTGGCATATTTTTTTCCTCTGGCCTCAGGCTCCAAGTTGGCTGGGCTCTGCACTGTTACTCAGAAAGTTCTAATGGTGCTTTCTATTGGTTTCACTGGTTCTCTCCTTTCTTGACTCCTTTTGGATCAATTTAGTAGCACTCTGAGATCACCTTAATCCCATTTCAGATCCTTCCAAGCTGAGCTGATCCAGCTCAGAGTCCATTTAGGAAAAAACAGGAAGAGGTGGGAGTTACTAGAAGATAGGAGCTGAGAGGAGGGCCTTGTGTTGCTAAGGCTCAGACTTCTGAGAACAGGGCTCTGCTCAGCTGGTGCAGGTGTTCTATACGGGCATGGCAAGGCTGCTCTATGACAGCCAGAAGAGGTTAGAGACTGCAGCCAACTGCCACTGTGCAGCAGCACTGATAGGAACGTGAAAAACGGGAAAGACATTTCTCTTTTCTCCTCTTGCCTTTCAATTCCCTGTGGTGACTTCTACTGGCAGAATGTAACAGGAAGCCAGCTAGGCATCTAGGAAATGTGGTCTCAAGAGTTCGAGCCCCAACTTCACAGAGCAGAGACTAAAAGGCTGGATCTGGAGTTGACGGAGAATTGCTTAATAACCAGGATTGCTGCAGGCCTGATTCACCCTTTCTCCTAGGGTGTATGTATTCTTTTGTGTTCCAACTCAAAACTAAGTGTTCAGCCCAGCCCCATGGCCGAGTGGCTAAAGTTCCGCGCGCTCCGCTTCTGCGGTCCGTGTTTGCAGGTTCAGATCCCGGGCACAGACCTACTCCACTCACCAGTCATGCTGTGGCAGTGTCCCACATACAAAATAGAGGCAGACTGGCACAGATGTTAGCTCAGGAGGGCTAATCTTCCTCAAGCAAAAAAAAAGAGGAGGATTGGCAGTGGATGTTGGCTCAGGGCAAATCTTCCTCAGCAAAAAAAAAAAAAAAACTAAGTGTTCATCAGGGTGCTCCCTTACCTTGATGGATGCTAATCTGTCTGCTTAGCTCCACAAGCCCCTAGTGGAAGAAAGAGCCCAAAGGCTAGACCCATCTCTGGGTTTTCACCCTACCTGGGTCCTCACCAAGTAATTTTTCAATATCTCGTTAACTCTCTGATGCCTTCAAAGAGATCATTTTTATATTTTGCCCAACGTTGCTAGTTGTTGTCTGGAGGAGTGTAACTTTGATTTACTCAGTCAACCAAAACCAGACATTTGAAACTGTGTTTATGTATTATGGGATAATATTTTAAAAATTAACTATAAACATTATGCCCTCTGCTTTCATCTAAAACTAATGTAGGAAACAGCTGTTTGTGCAATGCTTCTGCACTTTTGATAAACTATTAGCAAAGTCACTATTCATTACGTTGTTTAACATCACTTAAATGAAGACCTTCGTGGCAGGTCAGCTTAGGTGTATGAGAGACCAGAATAAACATTCTTTCTCTCTCTCTCTCTCTCTCTGCCCTTCCTGAGAAAGCCAAAGCTGGAGGCAGCTGGGTCATACTGGTCCTTAACCCCAACGCAGGAGAAGTGGGCATCAATGGGCAGTGGTTACCAGAGGCCAAGGCCCTTCTTCTGGTGCCCAGAGGGGAGGTCCACTTATCAGGGAGCCCAGGAAGCATAGGAAACAGATGCAGATGTAAAAGGGGGGGACAACTCAGAGTTCAGTCTGTGTTGTAGGCCCCTCTCAGCCTGGTAGGACCTGGTGCAACCCCAGGATGCTCAGACACCACCCAAATGCAGTTCTGAGATCAATTACCCCTAAACCAGGGCTTTTTCTGAAGAAAACCATATCAGAAAAACCATGAATTATACTGTTCAGACCTCTCGTCAGCCTGGAAACCATCTTATCTTGAAAGAGGGTTTTTGCCCCAGGTGAAGTCATGTGTCAGACCAAGCCCCTCATGCTCTTAGCACCAAGGGCCCTAACCTGACCTTGTCCCCCTACTCCATGCCTTGGAGGATCTTCAAGCTCCTCCCCCACAGCACAGTCATCCTGCCCAAACCTTGCCCTATTGGCCAACCTGGGATGCCCTCTCCACTCCCCTGCCCAATCCAGGCCCCATGCTTTCAAGCCTCAGCTACTGCTCTGGTGCCTCCACTAACCTCTTAGCACCCTGGCCAGCCCTCACCAGCACTACCCACACTTCCCTCAGCCAGGATGACCATATTACAGAAAAAGATGAGACATAAATTGACCAGGGAGAAGGTAACCCCCTTCCTGAGATGGCTACTATTAACTAATGTTTAGTATGTATACCCCTCTAGTCTTTTTTTGTGGGTATATTCACATATGTACAGAAGCAAAATTTCAATACTAGATGCTAAAACAAAATGGTCTCCCATAAATATTGTTCTTAATTTCATTTTTATTAAAAAATATATAGGGAATCTTTTTTCTGTCAGTCAAAACATATAGATCTAATTCACTCTTCTGAGTCAGGGCTTAAAATTTCACGGAATATTTCACCTGTTGGAGGGTGGGGCACATCCCTGCAACTAAAACGCCACATGGACCTGCGACCTGTCTGGCTATGGGTGAGATTAAGAAAATTCCTTGGTCCCTCCCAGTTCCCCCACTGCCCTCCTTCCCCAGTCTGTCTGTCGGGCCACGGAGCCCAGGAAAGCGGTAGGTGCAGGGCCAGGAGCAGGGGCGGACGGAGTCCGCGATGCGTCGCTAGTGGGCGCTCGCGGCAGAGGCCGGCCTGCCCCCGGGAGCGCCCTCTTTGTTGGGGGCGGGAGGGCTGTGTCGCCTCCTGGCGGCAACGCTGCGCTTCGGCGTTGCGGATACCTGCGCGTCTGTTCCAGCGTCCTGATTCCAGCTCCCTCACGAGGCTGCGCCGCTAGGTCATCTAAATCGACGGTCGGGACCCCATCGTCCCCCTCTGCCCCTTGCCCGCTTGTTTCAGGCTCTCGAGACCGGCCCCTTTAGCCGGCCTGCCAGGTCCTGCGAAGCATGCGGCCCGTGGTCCTCGAAGGTCTCCGCGCGCTCGGCTGGCGGCCTCCGCTGCGTCTGCTGCTCCTGCTGTCGCTGCTGCTGCCGCGGCCGGTAACCCGCGCTCAGACCACGCCGGGAGCCCCCGGCGCCCCGACAGCGCCTGGAAACTCTAGCGCCCCGACAGCGCTGGACACCCCTAGCGCCCCGACCACGCCAGGCACCCCCACCGCCCGGGCCACGCCAGGCACTCCCAGTGTCTGGAGTCTGCGGGAGCGCGCGCACGCCCTGATGCGCGACTTCCCGCTCGTGGATGGGTGCGTAGGTGCGGTGTGGGGGCAGGTGGGGGTTCAACTCACCCCTAGGTAGGGAAGGGGATCCTGAGCATGCAGGGCTAGTGAGGAGGCCCCCTCACATCACCCATGGGTCCCCTCCTCCCGTTACCCAGTTCCTGGTGGACACCCTACCCCCACCCAAAGCTGTACCTCAGGAGGTCTCCATATTATCTGTGTGATGTGGGAAAGTGGGGTGGGATAAGCCAGGCCTGGGCATGTTGACATGTCCTGCCTGACCTGGAGGCTGTGTACCCACTCTAACCTTATCTTGACACCCACAGCCACAACCACCTGCCCCTGCTCCTGAGACAGCTTTTCCAGAACAGGCTGCAAGATGTTAACCTGCGTAATTTCAGTCGCGGCCAGACCAGCCTGGACAAGCTTAGGGATGGCCTCGTGGGTGCTCAGGTACCACAGGGACACACAAGGTGCCATCAGTGTGGCTGCTGAGAAATGTTGGGGCCACAGAAACCTGGGTAGGCAGGCCTTTGGGTGACTAGGTATCATAGGACATGCAATGTGCCATCATGTGGTTGGAGGCCAAGACAGGCCAGCCACATGGGTGCCCAGGTTCTGTGGAGACACACACAAAGTGACCAGAAGATCCCTGGTGAGTGTGGGGGCTGCTGGAACCACAAAGGACAAGGTGGATTGCCCTTGGGGCCTTCACATAGTAGCACATGGACAAACAGCAGGGGATGATGTGTCACAAGTCCACAGATTGGCTGCTGGCAGCAAGCTTAATAGTCATCAAGGTAGCATGGGGTCATGTAGTGCCTCACTTGGGACTATTGACCCAAAGGAGTACCTTGGGGGCTGAGGAGGAGTGGCAGGCCAAGGGCATTGGAGACCACCCTAATCTCATTCTGGATCCCCGGGTTTACCTCTAGTTCTGGTCAGCCTATGCTCCATGCCAGACCCAGGACCAGGATGCCGTGCGCCTCACACTGGAACAGATTGACCTCATTCATCGCATGTGTGCCTCCTACTCTGAACTGGAGCTTGTGACCTCAGCCGAAGGTGGGCTAGCAAATGGGGGGATAGTCAGGGGCTCACTCTGGTGGTTCTGGCCCTAGGCCCTGACCACTTGATTATTTACCCTTTTCTAGGTCTGAACAGCACGCAAAAGCTGGCTTGCCTCATTGGTGTAGAGGGCGGTCATTCACTGGACAGCAGTCTCTCTGTGCTGCGCAGTTACTATCTGCTGGGAGTGCGCTACCTGACACTCACCTTCGCCTGCAGCACACCGTGGTGAGCATAGCATCTGGCCAGGGTGGAATGATAGATGGCATGGTGGGGAAACTGCCAAAGAGGTGAGGACAGAGGGGTCCACAGAGGGAGGCTGGACTCCCAGCAGGTCTCACACTCCCAGGGAGCAGCCGGCATGCCCCCTCACCCTGTGGAGGTGGGATGGATGGACAAACAGAGGGACTGCAGAGCCCCCAGGCTCTGATGGCCAAGGTGTGGCCCACTAGATTCCTCTCCCCTGGCTGTTCTGCAGGGCAGAGAGTTCCACCAAGTTTAAATACCACATCTACACCAACGTCAGCGGGTTGACAAGCTTTGGTGAGGTGAGGAGTCCTGTTCCATATCCTACCCTGCCCGTTCCCTACAGATATGTGTACACACATGTGTCCCTGAGACCCTGCCAAACAAAAAAACCCCAAAACTGTCCCTGCAGAAGGTGATAGGGGAAATGAACCGCCTGGGCATGATGGTGGACTTGTCCTATGCGTCAGACACCTTGGCACGGCGAGCCCTGAAGGTGTCAAGGGCTCCTGTGATCTTCTCCCACTCAGCTGCCAGGGCTGTGTGCGACAATTTGCTGAATGTTCCCGATGACATCCTGCAACTTCTGGTGAGTGGCCACCCCAGCCCTCAAACCCAGGGCTTTGCATGCTTCGTGCAAAGATTCTTGATCCTGAACAAAGCTACCAGCCTAGGCCTCACTTACCCTTGGATCTAAGGCTGGTTAACCCTCCCCATCTCTGAAACTCAAGGCCAAATCAGTTCCACCCACGGACCCACAAACCCAGAAAGGCCTCTTCCAACCCCTGAAGCCAGGACTGAGCACTGTCCTACCAGGACCCCCAGGGCACAGGAGGCAGGTCATTAGGCCAGAATGGCCAAGCTGAGTGTCCATCTGTTTATCCCTGTAGAAGAAGAATGGTGGCATTGTGATGGTGACGCTGTCCATGGGGGTGCTGCAGTGCAACCTGTTTGCTAATGTGTCCACTGTGGCAGGTGAGCCCCACTTTAACTCCTTGGGTGGTTCTAGGTTGGGCCTGTGGCTGCTGGGGCCCTCAGGCCAGCTCCAGCAGTCCAGCACACCTGTTGGGCAATGGGCAGACCTGCCAACGACCCAGGGGAGCAGACGCAGCTCTTCACTACCACCCAGATCTGGGGCCACAGTCAATGCTAATGGGTTTGAGGGCGGCAACTGCCTCTGCCTCTGAGTCTCACTGTTGCTCCCACATCTCTGGACGGGACACACAGAGCCCCAACCAGGCCCTCAAGGAACCCAGAGGCAGAGTGACTCCTGGGCAGGAAAAGGTCCAAAGGGGCGGCTCTGAGGTCCACTCTAGGTCCAATGTCCAGCCTGTAGCCACTTCAGAACTCACAACTGGCTAGGAGTTCTGTGGAGTCAGCTGCTATGGCCTGGAGTGCTGTGGGAAAGGGAATTGGCCAGGGCTGAGCTTCCCCAGACCACGGCTGGTCTCAGGGTCTAACTCCAGCCTAGAGCTGCCTGTCACTAATCCCCACCCCCCTAGATCACTTTGACTACATCAGGGCAGTCATTGGATCAGAGTTCATCGGGATTGGCGGAAATTATGATGGGTCTGGCCGGTGAGTGTTTGCCTGGGATTTTTCTTGGGCAAGGGTACACCAGGGAGTACAGTCCTTCAGTCTCAGTTCCCCATCCTGTGGTCCTCCCATCCTTTAGGCCTTGACCACAGGCTCTGGTCTTCTAGCCCACATGATATCTCCCCACTTCCAGGGCCTGTTACCTGGGCTCTCCCTGTCCCTTCTATGGCCCAGTGGACCCACTCCCACTCCAGGTCATCACACTCGTTAAGTACTCCCCTCCCCCAGGGCAGAGCTCGTCTGCCCAGCACATGCTCCACTCCCAGCCTAGCAGATCTGTTGTGGGTTGATCATCTGCTCAGCAGGTAGATGCTGCAGAAGCCCAGTCTTCAAGGAGCTTCCAAAGTTGCATTCAGTAGCCTAAAGAACATGGCCTTCAATTTCCCATATGTGACGGGGGCTGGTGGGACAGTGGGTCCTAGACCAGGATCAGGGCTGAGGTCCCACAGCTGGCCGGCTGGCGGCTACACAGGTTCCCTCAGGGGCTGGAGGACGTGTCCACATACCCGGTACTGATAGAAGAGTTGCTGAGGCGTGGCTGGAGTGAGGAAGAGCTCCAGGGTGTCCTTCGTGGAAATCTGCTGCGGGTCTTCAGACAAGTGGAACAGGTATTATGCTGGGCTGGGCAAAAGGATGGTTCAGTTGTTGGAGCAGGTGAGGGGGGCTCTGTGGGAGCCACTGACTGCTGACTCCCACCCCCAGGTGAGAGAGGAAAACAGTGGGCAGAGCCCTGTGGAGGATGAGTTTCCAGACCGGCAGGTGGGCAGGTCCTGCCACTCCCACCTCCTATCTCAGCCTCAGAGTGAACATCTGACCACACACCTGGAGGCGACCAAGTGGCCAACCAATCAGGTTCTCCAGACACCCTCAAAAGCCTCCCCACACCTCATTCTAGGCCTCATGGCTGCTGCCACCTTCTCAGTCTTCATTCTGTGAGTCTGGTGACCTGGGCAGTCCTCCAGAGGTCACTGTGGCAAAGTCTCACAAAGTCCCCCTCCTAGTCATCCAGGCACAAGCATATGCTGAGAATAAACATTTTGAGCATGGAGCCAGGTGTGAGTGTCCTTCTTTCTTCACAGGGGGAGGGAGTCTGGTGGGCTCTTGGTTGGTGAGGGGTCTTGTGGTCTAGCCCCAACTGCTCAAGGTGAGTGTTTCCCATTGGCCTCCAGCTTGCTTTCTCTCAGGAAGGGCAGAGACATATCACCATATTCTTATGCTAAAAGCCTGAGCCCAGGGGCCGGCCTGGTGGCAAAAGCGGTTAAGTGCCCGACCTCTGCTGCGTTGGCCCGGGGTTCACGGGTTCAGATCCTAGGCGCGCACCAACGCACTGCTTGTCAAGCCATGCT